TGGGGGGGGGAGGGTGGGGAGAGGGAGTTGATGGATGCAGTAGTGCTAACAGTCCTTGCTTGAAACATGTAATTGAACATAATCCTTATTTCATTTTGCTTTTAATGGCATGACAGTCGAATTAAATCATTTGTTCGAATTTTATTTTTTAAAGGAACTATTAGCACGAGACTGAGGAACACATTAATAGATACTTTTTCACGGGTACGAATGTTGTAAAAGTTTTATTACGTGAGCAATAGACAATGACAATTATTAACGTTTTACAATTTAAAGAATATGGATTTCCTGTTGGCTTATTGAACATTTTGAGGAATGTTTCATCTCTGAAATTACTTTGTTATGTACTTAATTAATTTTTCTCCATTTTTAAAGAATGTCTTAAAAATTGGCGAAAAAGCGTGCTATGATATCAATTGAAAAAGAATAATTCCGTTTACTATATAGAAGAATTAGAAATGCTCTAAGGAGCGTCGTCTAACACACAAAATGTTAATGAAGACACATGTGATACAGCGAGATTAAAAGAGGATTATTGTTGAAACGGAATCTCCGATTTTTTAAATCCTCTTCGGATAGGGCGTAACTAAGTACATGATGTGTTTGGAGAGACATGGATAATCCCCAACCAACACAAGTCCAGACGCGCTCATTGGGTATCTGAACTAGAAGGCCATCCACACTGCAGTCAGTTGAGTTGATCAGGCGCCCTACGTAGTCCTTCAGCAAAGATAGAAAACGTGGTGATCTTAAGCGTAAGATTTACATCATATTGAGACAGCTGGTTTTTCTTTTATAGCTATTTAGTTTTAGTTGGAGTTTTACTTCTCTTACAGCACTTTAAGGTAATATAAATGCTGAAGATTGGAGGTGTTACAAGGGAGTAACGAACGCAAAAAAAGAAGGGGAAGGGATAAGGACTATATAATATTATGTTTGATCGGAAAGAAGGAGCTAAACAACACCGGAGCACCCAATACCCACCCATGTAGCACTTTTGGCGCTTGTATTTTGGATTACGCATTAATTAAGCAACTAGATTCTACTGTACCGAAACCGGGAAAGACAGGGCTGAAGAGTTATGACTTGCTGAGTTACGATGGAATTTTACCACCATTTCTCCACAAATGACGTCTTTTTAAAACTGTTCAGATTCAGAATTAAGCGTACAGAATAATTGTTCATTTGGCATTGAGTGATGGGTCATAAACCACAGGACTCCAGTGATAAATTAAATGTAAGCCCCCGTGGATAGGCTACAGGATTGTTTTAAAATAAGCTCTAGTTGTTTTTTTTTTATGTTTTGCCTGAAAAAAGGGGAGGGTTATTATTCTTTAATTGACATATCGGGTGTCACATTTAATTCCGTCTAGTTTTGTCATGGGCTTTTAAAACCAAATTCCGGTTTGGCATTATCTGTCTGGTTAAACAACAAGCTCACTGATGGCTTAGTGAGTGTTATGGCCAAATCCAACCCGTTAGGTGCCGTTCACGGCATAAGGCACCTTTTGTGTGGAACCCCCCCCCCCTCTGATAGACCTAATAGTCCTTCTTAGAAAGTCGCCTTCATAGCTGTTCAGCAGTCCTTTGGTGCACATATTGATTTTTTTTTTAAAACTCGCAATATTACATGTATGTTCATCTACGTTTCCACCTCAGTTTCGTTGTGTCTTCTAAAGGAGTCCAAAGAGAAAGGGCTATAAACAATAAACCTATGGTTCGTATGATGTTTGTAATAATGCAGCATCTGCGTCTCTCAATTTAAGTAGAAGTAGTAATAGTAGGCATCGTACATTCTTAATGAATTTTAATACACTGGAGATCGTGAGCAGAACATTGAAAGTAAGATGAAAGAGGCGCTCATGCATATTTTGTTTTTGTTTTAAAAAATGAAATTTGTGGGCGTGTGTGTTCGGTTTTTTTTTTTTAAGGAGGTGGGGGCCCGGGGGCCCGGGACAGATCTATGTTCATTGAATATTTATTACGTTGTGCAAATTTGAGAACAATGCGGAAGAAAAGGTCTTAACATTTTGTTACGGTGAAAGGCCAGTCGAATTGTGCGGTAGCAATGTAATCCACCTCCCCGGGCTATACTTATCTGACATAGGCTGCCTTAGTTTTGCATTAAGGAACATTTTCTAGTGAATTCTTTACGAACATTTTCTAGTTAATTCTTTTTTTTTCGGACCTGCTTGATATCCCCCTGAAAGAGAGAGAGAGAGAGAGAGAGAGAGAGAGAGAGAGAGAGAGAGAGAGAGAGAGAGAGAGAGAGAGAGAGAGAGAGAGAGAGAAATGAATTTCAAACGTTTGCTGAAAATATGATATATTCTTATAATTAACGTTGGGGTCAATGTTTAAACCATCAAAATTTGTTCTCCGTTAAATAGAAATAAAACCATCTCCCCAT